GAATCAAATAAAAATTATTGGCCAAGCAAAAAAAGAAAAATAAAACCAAAAAATAAAAAGCGTTAATTAAGTAAAATTATGCAATTGGTGCATGAAACTTCAAGCTGGTGAAAAGCTGCGTTTGGGGTTTAAAAACAAATTTAACATATGTACATGCTTATGTATATACATACGTGGCTGCTTTATTTGGAATTTAATGCATCTGCAGTGGGACTAGTCGGTCAAAATTATTCATTTTTGGCTAATGAAGCAGTGGTAGTGACATAGTACTCTGAATACCTCCCAGAAACACATATGTACATACAGATATGCACTTATGTATGTATATATTCATTTATGTTAACATGTTCATGCACAAACCGTTGCGACTTTAGTTTTCTACTGTGATAGAATTTTGATATTTTTATTTCTAACATAAAAACGGGGAAGACCGCGACTGCGCACAATAGCATGTCCCCCTTAGCTACAATTTCGATGAAATTTTGCATATGTTCTGTTCGCACTGCCATACCCCCCTCCCCCCGCTCTTGTGAGTCGAACTTGTAAATATTATCTGAATTTTATGAAATTCGGCGTCTTACAAGGGTTAAAGTGTTAAAATGAATGTTTGATGAAATTTGGCGTACCTTGCTTGTTTACTCTGAACTTCCCTAGTTTGGAAGATTGCGTAAAATTACTCATTAAGACGCCCCCTAGCAACTTTTTTTGAACACGAATATTTATGTTATGGATTTTGAGGAAAGTTAACACACACCTTTACTCTATTGCTAAAGCATCTACATATGCCGAAAACATATACAATATCCACATACATACATATGATAAAATACTGAAGGCTTCAATTCTAGTGCACTTGCTCACGAAAACGGAATGCCGAGGAAGGATTTTTTATTGCGAAAAACGTGCTAACCTATGTAGCATACTATTTTTTTTTTTTACAGGATAGAGCACGGCTTAAAACCCAGCAACTAATCGGCTTAAAATTATCAAAATTTTTTCCGGATTTCTTTTGTCCCAGCTTTCTTTGAATATTTCTTACCTAAAAAATAATCTAAACAAATGAGATATATGTACATATGTACATATGTACGTATGTATGTATGTGATTCTGCACTAACCTAAGAACACACAAAAAATCAGCTACATATTTTGTTAATTATGCCTTAGTGCAAACGTGCGTAGATGTACATACATACATATATACATACATACATACATGAATATTGATATTTGCAATGCTTTTAAGACATCGTGTTATCATTGAGTTTAATTTTCATTTTGAACCTTTTTAACCGCAAGTTTGCATACCAAATATTGTAGAGTAGAAAGAATTGAAACAAAATACATATGTATGCACGAGGAGATTTAGTAAAAAGGAAGATTACCTAATAAAAAGACAAATATGGTTAAGCTTTTATTCAAATAAAGTAAAACCAAAATTAGAGCGCTGATGGTACAAAAGTCTGCAACAAACAACTTAATGGAATTAAATACCAAACCCTTTCACAAATACACAAACACAAATAAACCATTTAAAAAAAATTGCTAAATAAGAAATCTTAGTAAAAGTCTTAGTAATACTATCCAATATTCCTACGAGGCATGGGAAAATTTAGAGAATACCAAAAAAAAAATAAAAAATTACATTACATAGTAGGGCAGACGAAGTGAACCGTAAGAAATATATTTAGTGAAAATCATTGAAATTTATTGTAAAAAAGCAAATAGAAATGGAGTAACTACGGTAGGAGAAAGTACCAACGCGAACGAATTTTCAAATCCAAAGTGGAGTGGAGATGGCAAAGCGGACTTAAGTAAATCTGCTCAATCATCCGAAAATGTTTAACGCGAGATGAATACATAGATTAGTTAACTGATTGTCGCTCCACCTCCCCAAATAGCCAGCGACACTATTGGTCTAGTTTATGCACAGTCTGACGAACTTAAAAGAAGCACAGAAAGGCAGGTATCAATTTTGTTTATTACTTATTACTTATCCAACGATATCTTCGACAAAATGAACGATAAATGCTTATGTATAGCTATTGACATACATACATATGCACTGCTTTTTTATAATTAAGTGTTAAGTAGGCAAATGGAGCAGTGGTATCTGTAAAGTTGTATGCAACAAACGCTTGAAGTTTTCAAAGTAAATCTGATATCCGGCCATTGGAAAGTTTTATTCACAGCCAAACTTATAGCATACAAACCTCTTGCTCCATTTATGTTTACTTGAAGTGATCTTTAATTACAGATATTGCCATCATACAAATGTAGTATATCCACCATTATATTATTTAAGATTTGCTCACATCGATGTTAAAATTTTTTACTTAGTTGTATTTGTTAAAATGCACACATTTTTACTCAAGGTACATACACATGTATGTACATATCGTTCCCTTAATTCACAAAGGCCTTAACCAGCAAATTTACCTCGTAAACTCACTAAATTTTGCATGGAGAACCGGTTAATTGCGAGGGTTTCGCGGTTACGAGGCATTTACACGTTTTGATGAATACCCTGATTTTAAAATTTCAATCGAAAACTGCTAATAACTAACTCCATTGTATTTGATACTGAGACTTTAAAATTTTTTGAGAAGGCGTATTTCAATATATGCTTCCAAAATCTGTGAAAAATGCAGTTTCGAAAAAAGTGTTGGTCAGAGCCTTTGCGAATTAAGTTAACGATAAATAATTTACATTTATTTTTATAAGTTTTCAACTTCAAT